TTCTTTTTCTGACCACACATATGTGAGGTTTTGTTCGGGGACCTCTCTATTACGTTCTTTTGGAATACAGGTCTATCATGCTAGTACTGTACCTGCCACTCCTTACCAGGTTACAGATTTAGTTCTGTAGCTTGCCTTCCCCATGGATAAAATGTGTTAAGATAGAACTATTGCCTACTTTCTGACAGCATCCAATCAAGAACAAAGGCTGCTTCCTTAAGCCCTCTTGAAAGCCACCAGTCCTGTAATAACCTTTTCTTCACATTTTTTATTGTGATGCCCTGAAATTCCTCATGGATCACAGATGGATAATTTTAGCTTGAAGATAAGCCCATACAAATTTGCATGCAACTAAGATCTTTAAAAGATCCAGAACAATAAACATAATAAGAATAGAATTTAGGTGCCCTTCCCCGTGTGTGTGTGTGTGTGTGTGTGTGTGTGTGTGTGTATTGGGGGATGGAGGTAGTAATTGTTATGTATCTGTAGCCCAGCAGTGACAACCACTCAGACACACACACACACACACACACACACACACACACACACACAGGCATTCAGGGACCTAGATGTGGCTCCAAGTGAACACTGGAGCTTTTAAAGAAAGAAACCATGTCCTGACATCTTGCTCAGCAGCTTCAGGGAGCATGTTGCAGAAGTAAGCAGCTTGAAGCAAGCAGTAATTTTAACAGAAGCTAAGATAAGCGGTTAGCAGGAGGGAGTTCTGCACAAACCAGTAGTTTTAACAAAGGCTAAGATAAATTATGGACATCCTGACCTTTGGTTCCTAGAATAGAGTTGGGTAAATTTCCATCTCTTTGATGGGATTCTCCATCAGGGAGATCAAATTCTAGTTAAACTTGAATACACTACAACTTAACTCAGAAATAACAAAATGGAGGAAACTTGTCTTGCCTGTCACTCTGACAAGAGGAGAAATACAAATGAAATCTTTCTTTGGAGGCCTGAAATGACACTGCTGATTGAATTGGTGAGAACTACAGTTGCCCTTGCTGTCTTTTTCCTGAAAGTTTTAATGTCACTAACAAAGGGAAATACAGGCCCTCAGAGGCTCTGGGGCCTCTACTGGGGTGTCCCCATGACCTTGACAGCTGCCACAGAACAGAATTTCAAGATGAAGAAGGGTGAAATCAACTGGCAAATTTATGAGGTACATTGCATAAATTTGCTGCTGGAGAAGGGGTGCTAGGGATTGATCAAAGAGGTCTTTATTCAGACAGAACACAAGACAGTTGGATTGAAGGCATTTGTAACAACAATAGCCATTTGTAACCTTAGCCATTTGTAACAACCTTGTTTATGACTTTTTTTTTTTTTTTTTTTTCTGAAAGAGGAGCACAGATTTTTTTTCTGCAGGTGCTCTGATCAGTCACCTAGGTGTCAGCCAGCTAGACAAGGTTAGAAGGTTAGGAGAAACCATTCTCATATTCCCTCTATTTTCTAACTAGCTATTCTGCCTCATTAACATTAAAATACGAGAAATTTGGCAACTTTCTCTTTTTTTTCTATTAATACTATATTTTTTCCTTTTATTGAAAATAGATTCCCCCCCCCCTCATATTCTATATATCCCAATCCTCCCATCTGGATCCACTCTTTTTCTGTCTCTCTTTAGAAAACAAATAGGCTTCTAAGGAATAATAATACAACAAAATGTAATAAGATAAACTAAAAACTAACATATTGGAATAGGACCAAACAAACAGACGGAAAAAAGCCCAAGAAAAAGCACAAGAAACAGACATAGATACAGACACCCACTTGTTTGCATACTCAGTACTATCTCATAAAAACATAAACTGGAAGCCATAATATATATGCAAAGGCCCTGTAGGGTAAAAAGAGAATGAAAAATATAAATAAAATAATAAGATTAAACAAACAGCTGGGTGGTGGTGACCCATGCCTTTAATCCTAGCACTTGGGAGGCAGAGGCAGGTAGATCTCTGAGTTCAAGGCCAGCTTAGTCTTCAGAGAGAGTTCCAGGACAGCCAGGGCCACACAGAGAAAACCTGTCTTGAAAAATCAATCAGTCAGACAAACAACAAGAACAAACAAAAAGTCCCGACATGACATTTTGAGACAAGGAATGTTCAAAGGTGACAATAAGTTTCTTTTCTTTAGTCCATTTACTGCTGGGCATGCAGCCACCTCCCTTCTTCACCCCCAAGAGTAGTTTGTTTCCCCAGGGAGACTCCCTTAGAAAAAGCTAAAATTTCATTTGTAAGTGGTTAATATATAAACTGATGATATATCCACCTAGTGGTATGGTTAAAGGGAAGAGTGTTTTTGTTTGTTTGTTTGTTTTTAATTCTTTATTAATTACACTTTATTCACTTTATATCCCCCCTGTGGTTCCCTCCCTCCTCCATCCCAATCCCTTTGTTTTTGTTTTTGGTCGTTTGTTTTGTTGTTGGTTTGGTTTGGTTTTTCAAGACAGGGTTTCTCTGTGTAGCCTTGGCTATCCTGGAACTGTTTGTAAACAAGACTGGCCTTAAACTCATAAAGAGCTGCTTGCCTCTGCCTCCCAGAGTGCTGCAATTAAAGGCATATGCCACCAATGCTTGGCTAAGGGAAATTAAAAAAAAAAAAAACAAAACTATAGATATGAGAGAGAACAGCCAGAGGTATCTAGAAGAGTTCAGGGCAAAGAGAGAAAAAAATAGACTGAACATGGACAGCATACGGGACCTGGACATGAGAGAAGCAGGAGCCAAACTGACAGGGTGGGCGGGGAGGGGGGAACAATGATGGTATAATGACACAGAGGGAAACAGGGAGGCGAGAAACAGAGAGGAAGGCAGACAACAGAGAGAGAGAGACAGACACAGAGAAAGGAAGACAGACAATAGAGAGAGACAGAGGCAGAGAGACAGAGACAGACATACAGACACACACACACACACACAGAAGCAGATGCCAAAATAGCCAGGATATAAGGAGAATGAATAGCTGGGTGAGGAAAGCCCTTGAGTTGGGGGAGTTTATCGTAGGAGAGGAGGTGAGAAAAGGTAAGAAGAGCCAGATGTGATCATCAACTCTGAAATGTGTAACAGGTTCTTGTGATGCCGAGGGAGCCTGGAGGCCAGCATGCTAATACGCATCGCAAATAGCCATGCGTACCTCTGCCTTCTAGAATCTGGGGAAGTAGAGTTTCCTTTGGATCTGACAGTTATCAGCTTGAGACTGCTTCTGGGTTAGGGATGGGGGCATGTTTTCCATTCTCCTTTCAGCTCTAGGATCCCAGCCATCCGGTGCAGCCCGGTACAACCCCCATGCGTGCTGTCCCTGTCTCTGTGAGTTCATATGTGCATCGGTCCTGATGTCACTAGGCCTTGTTTTCCTGGTGTCCTAAACCCCCTCTGGTTCTTATGTTCTTTCTGCCTCCTCTTCTTCAGGTTCCCTGAGCTCTGAGGGGAGGGATTTGATAGAAACATGACAGGTAGAGCTAAGTGTTTCAAAGTCTCCCATTCTCTACCTAATGCCTGGCTGTGGGTCTCTGTACTTGTTTCCATCTGTAGCAGGTGATGGCGAATAGAGCAGAATGTCACTATGTTACTTTTTAAATTTGTTTGTTCATTTGTTTATTTATTTTTAGAACAGCAGTATTTGGTTTTTTACCTTAGGTCCCTGGGCTATCTAATCTCTAGTTCTTGGTCACCCAAGCAGCGTTGGGCCTCATGTAGTGGGCCTTAGGTCAAATCAGATCCTACTTGGTTACTGACAGAAGTTTGTGCCATCACCCCAGGAGGATATCTTGCAGGCAGGACATCACTGTAGATCAAAGGGGTTGTGGTTGGGTTTAAATTTCTCCTTTGGTAGCATGCAGAATACCTTCCTGTGCCATAGACGCTAGCATGCACGGGTGAAGAAGGCTCTATGTAGGCACCAGCTCAACTTCTCCATGCTTCATGAGTCGTGTAGTTGTTGTCTTCAGCAATGGGGTCTTGCCATAAGTTTGTGGAGAGCAACCTATCATGACCTTGGCAACAGCCCGAGTTATTTGGGGGATTCCCATGACCAACAACTCAATTACATGTAACCCAGTCTCAGTACTGGAAGCTTCATCTGGTGACAGGGAGATGTCCTGTTGGGGCTCTGTCTCCCTCATTATCTGGCGATTTCATTTACATCACCTTCACACATACATGTAAAATTTAGGAAGCTCCTACCAAGTTATGTTTTCATGCCCCTCAAATGGCCCTTCATTTAGCTGTCTCTCCCCCATCCCCTCCCCTTCTGCGTTTGATCTTTCTGTTCCAGCCTGCCCACAATCAGGCATAGCTATCTATTCTATTTCCCTTTTCTAGGGAGATCTACTGGCCCCTCCCTAGCCCCTTACTCTATACCTAACCTCTGTGGTTTTATGGACTTGCTGATAGCTTGGTTATCACTGACTTAACAGATCATATCCACCTATAAGCTAATGCATGCCGTATTTGTCTTTCGGGGTCTGGGTTACCCCACTCAGAATGATTTTTTTTTTTCTTGTTCCATCTATTCACTTCTGAATTTCATTTTTTTTTTAATGGCTGAGTAATACTTCACCGTGTAAATGTACCACATTCTCTTCATCCATTCTTCTGCTGAAGCACATCTAGGTTGTTTCCAATTTCTGGTATTATAGATAGAGCTTCAGTGGACATGGTTGGGCAAGTGTCTCTGTGATAGAATACAGTGTCCCTTGTGTATATACCTAAGCGTGGTATTGCTGGATCTTGAAGTACACGGATTCCCATCTTCCGGAGGAACCACCAAGCTGATTGCCAGGTGTGCAGTCCCACCAGCAATGGATGAATGGGGGCTTTGGTTTCTACCTGAGCTGCGGACGGTTGGGTGGAAAGGCAGCTCTGAATGGGGCTTACTTAGCGCAGCTTCAGCAGGCCTCACATCACTTCCGCCAGAATCGCCGTGGTCCTCCCACCAGCGCGCGCTGCTGAGCGGCTGGAGGGTAGGAGACAGCCGCTCTAGCCGGCGACTCGGTGGCGAGGCCGCGGCCGCCTGGCTTCCAGGCGCCGCCATGTTGGAAGTGCAGGGCTCCGACCATGGCTGCGAGCGCCGGGCTGCGAGCCCCGGCCCGGCCGGGCACCGGGTGGAGGTGCGGCCCGGGCTGTATCTGGGTGGGGCAGGGGCCGTGGCGGAACCGGATCACCTGCTGGAGGCCGGCATCACCGCCGTGCTGACGGTGGACTCGGAGCCGGCTTTCCAGGCTGGCCCTGGGTTCGAAGGTCTCCGGAGCCTCTTCGTGCCCGCGCTGGACAAGCCCGAGACTGACTTGCTCAGTCACCTGGATCGGTGCGTGGCCTTCATCGGCCGGGCGCGCGCCGAGGGCCGAGCGGTGTTGGTACATTGGTGAGTGCCAGGAGCAGGGGCCAATGCCTCGTACCGGGGGTGTGCGACCCAAAAGAGGGTCTGGAAACCAGCCCTTGGTTCATATAAAACATATATGTACTTGTGTATATACATACATGTATATATGTATACACATACAGGTATATATGTATTTATTAATGTAAAACATGCATATACATGTACATATACATGCGGTATCTATATTTATATAGTTGGGGTTCATCAGATAAGGTTTGGCAGCTCTGTAAAAGAAGTCAGACACCTTTCCTTGCCCGTGTCTGGCCAGATGTGTAGGTGTGAGACTTTTCTTCCTCATCCTAAAGGTCACTGTGTTTAACGGGTGTTTTGTTTTTGAGACGAAGTCTGACTGTGTAGATCTGGCCCACCTGGAGCTTACCATTTAGACCAGGCCGGCTTCAAAACCACAGAGATCTGCCTGTGCCCGCCTCCAGAGTGCTGCACCTCCTAGCGTACCGCCACGCTCGAGGGTTTATTTTTTACCTGTGTAACAGAGCCTTGACTGTCCCGGACTCGCTTTGTAGACCAGGCTGGCCTCGAATTTACAGAGATCTCCCTACCTCTGCCTTCTGAGTGCTGGGGTTAAAGGCAGGCACCATCATGCCCCGACACTAAAGAATTTTTAATCAAAGTTTTATGTGACACTGGAGAGTTTGGGAAAACGGAAACTCACAGACCAAAGGAAAACTGTTCACATGCTTGGAGTAATTAAGACTGGACAGTCGCACAGAAAATGCGATTGGACAAAAGGAGTGTGGCCTAATAATGCTAATGGAGTGAGCTGGGAAACAGCCTGGCCTGTATTGACTGTCCCCTGGGGCATAAGGCAATGCCCTTTCCGGAATGATGGTCTCAGGGTATATCAGACTGAGTAGATCATAGAGTTAATTTGTTCTGCTAACATGGTAGGCTTTTTTGATTTTGAGGTGGAGGTCTTGCTGTGTAGCCCAGGTTATTCTTGAATTTGGGACCCTCCTGCATCTGCCTCGTGGTGCTAGTGTCATATGCGCTAGCACCATGAGCTACTGCTTTGGCCTTAATTCTCGTTTTTGTGCTTAAGACTGAAGAAGAGGGTAATTTTAGCTTCCCCATCTTGCCCTGGGGTGAGTGGGGAGAAAGAGAAGCAGAAGAAATAATAAACAGATCTGGAGGCTTCAATGCTAAGAGGAAAGGACCTTGGACCTTGGGTTTGTTCTGTAGCTATTGCATTTTTTTTTTTTTTTTAAATATACACAGAGTGGTCACAAAGTGTGATTAGTGACTAAGCTCAGCCTGTTAGACCACAGGCTCTGTTTCTTTCTCCCAGAAATCAAGTCTTCCCACAGCCCCCTGCAGCCTCCTGCAGCTCTGTGGGGCAGAAAGTTGATCAAATGTGAGTTGTGACCTTACATCTCTCACTGGCAGCTGTGGGCATGTCTAGGTCACCCACCACCCATCCCCAAATACCCTAGAATTATAACTTAAGGTAGTAGTGCCCTTCTGCCCTAGGACTTTTGGCTTGGAGGCCAGGCCAGAATGGGTCATAAACTGTGGGGCTTTTCTTCCTCCAGGAAAAGCTGTAAGAGTCAGAAATTTCATTTGTCCTCTGGAACTGAAGTCTCTTTCTCTTTGTGACCCATATATATACGTATATGGGAAAGGAGCTTCATAGCCACCCAGATTTGAAGGCCCACTTTCTCCCTTCAAGGCTGGCATGTTGCCTCTGGTATGAGGGTTTCTCCTAACGTTCACTCATGTCAGTGCTGGATGGTTCCTGGAGGTGCTCTTGGGGCTTTCTCACCTGATGAGCAGTTTTGTGTCATTCCTTTCTACAAACCCACAGGAAGTTAAAACACAACCTGACTCAGAATTATATATCCCTTTTCATTAGGAGGAGGGGACGATGCTCGGGGAGTGTCAGCAGATTTTGGGGGAATAGTAAATGGGTTTTCAGTGGATGAGGAGAAACATACAAAATCTGTTGAGTCTGCAGAAGAGACAGTGAATCATAAATGATTCTTTTTGGAATATTAGTTGGATCAAAATAGAAGATATCCTTGTGGGACAGTCTGCTTGCTTCCCCTGCTATTTCAATATAATTAATGAAAACTCGGGGAAAGGATCTGAAGTAATTTTTTTTTTTGTCGTCTTTGGTGCCTCTGGACTTTAAGCAGACAAGAAGATAAGTCCTCCATCTGCTGCTAATATGAAATAATCGGTACACTAGGATGTCTGTTTTGAGCAGTAATCCATCTTTCAGTGGTAGGAGAGGTTAACAAAGGTTGAAGTTCTCAAGATTGCAGAGTAAGACCAGGTTATTTTTAATTCCTCTTTTGGGAAGTGGTGCTGGTATTAAAGCCAGGGTTTCACACATGCAAGCGCTCTTCTACTGAGCTACATCCTCAGCCCCAAGAGTTGTTTTTGTTGTTGTTGTTTTTATGCTCTGTTTGGGATGAGGGACAATGGTTGGTGAATTAGAGAATTAGGATATAAAATTTATATCCTAGAGAATTAGGGTAAAAAAGCCTTGCCAGGGTATACTGCAGCAAAGATAAAAGGCTAGAAAATCTTAGCAGGTGCTCGGGGATTCCTGAGGAGTCCTGTTGGGTTGGTTTGAACTGCTCTGTTGGACACTTCCTGTGTGCCAGAAGTTCTGAAGATTTCCATAAGGACAGAAGGCAGGGAGGGATAAGAAGCATGGGGCCAGATCTGGAACAACTTGAAGTTAAGAGGGAAGGAACCATGGCAACAGTTGAAATATTTAAGCGGCTATTTTTGAATAGTTAATGCATCCATACTGTCCAGAGTTAAAAAGGAATAAGGAAATAACGGACTGCTTTTGTATGTTGGCAGTATTTAAGAGGCGCTGGGTCAATATGGGCAGAATGGTCAATATGAGCTGGGCACCATTGTCATCACAGCATGGAGGAGGCTGAGACAGGAAGATCGCCATGACTCTGAGAAAGGAAAAGAACTGAGCTGGACCTAAACTTTACCGTTAATAGTGGGCTGGGCTTTGTCTTGGCTTTTAATTGCTGCAATTGGTTCTTTTATCTTAAAGGTCTCTTTTTCAGTCATGCAGGAGTCAGTCGAAGCGTTGCTGTCGTGACAGCTTTTTTAATGAAGACGGACCAGCTTACCTTTGAAAAAGCCTATGAAAACCTCCAGACTGTCAAGCCAGAAGCTAAGTAAGTCCACTGTTGCCTGTCACAGTAACAATTCTTTTTTGTTAAAGTGTGTGTGTGTGTGTGTGTGTGTTTCCTGGACTTGCATAGGCCAGAGGCAAACTTGGGCCCTTTTTCTTTGGCTTTTACCAGTTCTCCTTTTGTATGTCTCCTTCTTGCTTCTCATTGTAGGATGGATGAGGGATTTGAATGGCAACTGAAATTATATGAAGCAATGGGATGCGAAGTCGATAGCGCTAGTGCAATTTATAAGCAGTACCGTTTACAGAAGGTTACTGAGAAGTATCCGGGTGAGTAAACGCTATTTATAACTGGACTCTTCTGAGGTGTCATTTACTTGAATGCTAAACGCATTGTCACTTTCCAAGAAATCCTAGGAGGCAGAGACTATTGTTTCCTTTTGTTTAGCAAGACATCACATGGTTTAAAAAAGGCTGGGTTTGAAATCAGGCACTCTGCTGTGAGTGAAGATTTGCTCTCTGCTTTCCTACCTGGTTTCTCAACGTAGAGATTTTTGTTTTTAGTTTCTGATTTTAGGATGTGTCGCCTCTGTTTGGCATTGGGATTTTATCTGAGACTCTAGAAGGTTGAGCTTGACACCTGGGTGCATTTAAATTATCTTGTAGAACTTCGGAATTTACCTCAAGAGCTCTTTGCTGTTGACCCGACTACCATTTCACAAGGGTTAAAAGATGACATTCTCTACAAATGTAGAAAGTGCAGGTAAAATATTCTGTATCTTGGAAATTTTATCTTCTTGATAATTGGAAAAAGCACTTTATTTTTCTTTTCCTTTCTTTTTTTTGGGGGGGGGATTGTTTTGTTTTTCGTGACAGGATTTCTCTGTGTAGCCTTGGGTGTCCTGGACTCACTTTGTAAACCAGGCTGGCCTCAAACTCACAGAGATCTACTTGCCTCTGCCTCTGCCTCTACAAGTGCTGGGAAGTTTAATGGGATAATATGGAAAGTTTAAGTTCAAACCTGCTTCAGAAAGAATGTACTTTATAGGGGCTATTGAAAATTTGAGTAGGATACTGATGGCTTTTTTTACATTTTATCTGTTTTCATCTTTCACAAGTCATTAATGTTTTTGTCTTTGGTGCTTCTGCAGGCGATCTTTATTTAAACGTTCTAGTATTTTGGATCATAATGAAGGAAGTGGGCCAGTAGCCTTTGCTCACAAGAGATCGACACCGCCTCTTGTGCTTACCACAGGGACTCAGGCTCAGTGTACATCTTACTTCATTGAGCCTGTCCAGTGGATGGAATCTACCTTGTTGGGAGTAATGGACGGACAGGTGAGAACACTAATTTGCTTTCTACAGTCTCATTATAGCATCGAAATTCTGTTCCCTTTTACACTTCTAAACTAAATTTTAGAGCCGGGGGCGTGGCTCAGCTGGTGGAGTGCTTGCCTAGCGGGCATGGTTGCCCTGGATTCCATCTCCAGTGTCACAGAAGCCAGGCATTCCTAGCACTCCGGAGGTTAAGGCAGGAGGATCAGGAGTTAAGGTCACCACAGGCACGTAGTGAGTGTGAGACTCTCCTCTCCTTCATGATACACTGTCTCAAGCCAACACAACAAACATTTTAATTAGATTTTAATATTTGTATTACATTTTCTTATTTTGTATATGATGTGTGCACCTGTGGGATTTTTAGGTGCTACACACTCACATGGAAGTCAGGACAACTTGGTGGATTCACCATGTGGGTTTCAGGATTAAACTCAGGTCATCAGGCTTGGCCAAACGGCCTTTGCTTGTTGTGCTATCTTACTGTCTGGATAAACAAAACAAAATAACTGCGTTTTGTAGATTGCTTATTAATATTTCATATTGATTCATATAATTATTAATGTAGCAGCTACTTGGGTAACCATACAGAGAGACTATGATTTATTTAGCCTTTAGCACAATACTGAGCAATTATTACTCCATGCTAGGTAGCTTCCTCCCAGCCATAATCCCCGTCATACTTGCATTTTTTTTTTAAAGATTTATTTATTTATTACATATATAGTGTTCTGCCTGAATGCCAGAAGAGAGCACTAGATCTCATTATAGATGAGTCACCATGTGGTTGCTGGGAATTGAATTCAGGACCTGTGGAAGAGCAGTCAGCACTCTTAACCCCTGAGCCATCTCTCCAGCCCTCATACTTGCATTTTTAATTCTCCAGTTAACTTATCCTGATCCTTCCTGGACCTCTCCCCGTGGCTCAATATTTTCCTCTCTCTTTCTTCTCTCCTCGCTGGACCTGGGTGTCCCACCCTATTCTCTGTATTGCTTAGTATTGGCTGGTCAGCGTTTTATTGGAAGAACAGAGAGCAAATGATGGGCATGTTTATACAAGCTTGAGACAGGAGATACTTATAATAAACATTACAGTGCCATGTCTGAGTTTTAACCAGATAGTGGGGCAGAGAAGTCAGCATTTGAATATACAAAGGCAAAACTTTGCACAGTGCACAAAACATTATGCCAACAGCGTTTTAATCAATATTTCCTTTCTGAAGAGTCTGAGGATTATACCTTTTTAATATATGGATAAGGTTATCAAAAATAAATGATTCTTTTTAAATTAAACTCAAGGTCTTAACTGTGTCAGCATGCACTCTACCATGAAACTCTGCCCCCAGTGAAATGTTTTTTTTTAAATTTAGCTGATTCAACTCTATTAGCCACATTTGATGAAGAACCATTCATCCAAGTTAGATGTAAGACTATTGATTATGTGTTTTCAAACACAAGACTAACATTTTAAAAATAATTAGATATATCACAAAATTAAATAAGTGGGATAAATTAAGGTAAAGTTAGGTTTAAAATTTATTTTCTCTTTTAACTTTATGGCACCCAATTTCCGTTTTTCTGGTCTTCTAATTTAATCCATTTGCTATGGGATATATTCTATTCCCTATTAAAGAACGGAACTCAGAAATGTACCCTGTGTTCCTCACATTTGCCTTTTTGTGTACCTGATACTATTCTGAAGGCATTCTTTAGCAGTTTTCTTTTTTTAAGTGTTGGAGATTTAATCCAGGGCCCTTGCACTATATATTTTACATGAGCTACAATTCAACCCCATGTAATAATAATTTTAGTAAATTTGAAATGTTGTATAGGTGTATAAAATTTTCACAATAGATATTTTATGAAATCTTTTTGAGAGTATAGTTAGCTGCAGATGTACTTGCAACCTATCAACAAGGAAACCTAATTTATACTAGTTATTATTTTGTCTGGAAAGTGGTATCCATATGTTCAGATTGAATTGCTCTAAGCCAGTTTTGTTTATGCATAATTCACCCATTTTGTAATGCACAGTAGTTTTTTTAATTACAGTTACAGAAGTTTGTTGGTTTTTTTGTTGTTTTTCTTTGTAATCATCACACTCAAAATAATATACTCATTTCAAGTCACTGGACATTTTTGTTGTTTGTTTCACCTTGATTTTTGAGGCAGGGTTTTGCTCTGTAGCCTGGGTTGGGTTTGAACTCATCTTCCTTCCTTAGCCTTCTGAGCAGTGGCCTTATATGTATGCATTACCAAGCCTGGCCCCTGTTCAGTTTTGATTTTTGAGAAAGGATCTCACATAGCCCAGGTTGGCCTGTAACTTCTGGTCTTCCTGGGATCTCATATAGCCCAGGCTGGCCTCCATCTCCTGGTCCTCCTGTAAAATGAGTGCATACAGACACAGAGTAAAGCCATTTTTGTAAGATTCTAAATCATAGGTGAATGTGATGGTATATGTCTTTCAATACAGCATTTGGGAGGCAGAGTCAGATGGATTTCTGTGAGTTTAAGGTGAGTTCCAGGCTAGGACTACATAGTGAGATATTATTTCAGTAAATAAATAAATAAAATTCTAAATCACATCTGAGTCTGTTTCTTTGTACGTGTATTTGTGTTTTCCATTGAACAGATACTTAGAAATGGAACTACTGGCTTTACAACTCCATTAAGGCTAACATTCATAATGTCCATACAAAATGTCAGTAAGAGAAGACATTTCTTTGCCTCTCTCATCCTAACAGATACTGTAGAATGTGGAGTAAAAACGGTGCTAATTCTGAAATGTCCCTGACTTTTCGTGATTACTTATTTGCCAGCTGACAGGTTTCTGTTGCTATGATAAGTACCACGACTGGTTTGAATGGGAAGGGTTTAGTTCATGTTACAGTTTACAGTCCATCTTCTAGGAAGCCAGGCACGACCCTGGAGGCAGGAACTGAAGCAGAGACAAACTCTGCTTGCTCACTGGCTTGGTCTTCATAGCTTACTCAGCCTGCTTTCTTATATAAACCAGGTCGGCCTAACCCAGGGGTGTCACCACACACAGTGGGCTGGGCCCTCCCACATCAATCATTAATCAAGAAAATGCCCCATAGGCCAGGCTGATGGTTCCTTCCTCCCAGGTAACTCTCGTTTGTGTCACGGTGACAAAGCTGACTCACCAGCCACATATAGTTTGTTTTTTTTTAAAAACGTTTTTCTTTTTTTGTAGGAGCTCTTTGAATAGTATAGATAAAGCCTCTTCTAACACTTTTTCCCTTCTGTCTCAAACTTATATTTTGTCACATTAAAGTTTAAGAAAGCAGAGAAATGTGTGTACATGTGTGTGTTGTGTCTGTGTGAGAGAGCTATGTAGACAGTACTATGTAGCCTAGGCTGGCTTTGTATGTGCTGTGTAGATGAGATTATCCTCAAACTCTTCATAGTCCAACTCTCTAGGATTATAGGCATTTGCTGTACCTGGCTACATTGTTGTTGTTTTCCAGTTACGTTTCTGAGTTTTATGGACAGACTTAAATAAAACTTACCTGTTTATTTCTTTGGGAGAGGAGAACGCCTGCCATGGTGCACGTGTGGCGGTCAGGGTGACTTTGTGGCTGGGGTTAGTTCTTTCTACATCTGCCATGGTGCATGTCTGGAGGTCAGGGTGACTTTGTGGCTGGGGTTAGTTCTTTCTACATCTGCCATGGTGTACGTCTGGAGGTCAGGGTGACTTTGTGGCTGGGCTTAGTTCTTTCTTTCCACCTTTGCATGAGTTCTTGGAATTGAACTCAGGTCAACAGGTTTGCCTGGCAAATGCCTTTACCCGCTGATCCGTCTTGCTGGCTCCATTTCCAGACTTTGGTAGCTCAGTGTTTAAAACACAAATCCCTCCTCAGACCATGTACACTAAACATAGATGGGAGCGCTGTCATAGGCATTAGAAAACGCGCAGTTGATTGGTGAGTGCTTTTGGATTTCTCTCTTACTGGAACATTAGTGTATCTGACCTATATGCTACTGACCCCACTTAGAAATAGAAGGTGAGAATAGGAGTATTCATTTCCATCCTTTACCATGCTATAAATTGATTAGAAGGCAAGTGGTTGTTACACCGATTGAAACATTCTTAGTTGCTTTGAGCTTTGCTTTTCCCCTTCAGCCTGGGTTCCTATTCCCCTTCTTCAGAACAATGTGCCTTTTCTATACTATTTGTAGTTTATGATGAGGAAATAAGTGTATTTTTATGCATGTGGGAACATTACAAATTCCTTGCTGACCTATTTTAATAACCGTGCCTATTTTATATATTCTGTATTGTCAAAGATAGTCGCTGGATGTGTATAAAAGTGGGATACAGTAACAAATTTGCTTTTTTTCAGCTTCTTTGCCCAAAATGCAGTGCCAAGTTGGGTTCCTTTAACTGGTATGGTGAACAGTGCTCGTGTGGTCGATGGATAACCCCGGCTTTTCAAATACACAAGAATAGAGTGGATGAAATGAAAATGTTGCCAGCTCTAGGATCACAGAGAAACTATGAACCTAGGGCAGAGCCTGGAGTAAAACCTGGTGGAACACAGTTGTCTTGATTATTATCTTCCCTAGTGGAAGGATTTGGAATGTCCGAAGATAACTACTGACTGTAACAGCTATTGGTTGGCAGCTTATTACATGCTGTATATGCGGTACTTGGCTCGGCAATCCAGGCTTTGAATCATGTAAATTGGATTTGATATTAAATTCTTTTGTAACCCAGATACTGTGTTACATGTTCTAAAGCTTTCATGCTGTTTGGATGTAGCCCCTGCTTTAAGCACGTTAGGAAAGCATTCTACCTCTGAGCTACATCTGGACCCTCTTCCATTTTTAAAAGTTACGCATTGTGCTATGTTAGTTATGTGATACTAAAGTCTAGATGGCTAAAATTGAATGTAAGAACATGAAACTGTCAGTATCCAGGCAGACACTCTTTGGTTTTCAGACATATAAAGCAGAATTACTTGGTTGGAATATGAAAAATCATTTTTGTTTCATTTAAGGGACCTTAGTAAACATACACACACCCTTTGGTGACCCCCTCTGGGGAGATGTGAACAAACATCTAGTCCTCCTTGTGGCACTGATGATAGACCAAAGAGATGGTTCCACTGACGTCCAGCCTGCTGAACTGGTCAGTTTATTGGGTTACTTACAGGAGCATGGGCAACTCGAAGCATTTGCATTACCAGAAAGCCAGCCTGGGTATCCGCTCACAGAGGTTGTAATCCTACAACTTCCTGCTCAGTCTGCAGGCAGCTGACTGCAGGAGAATCTTTTTTTCCCCAGTGATCATCACAGTTTATATTATCTCTGGGAAGGGCCTTGTGAATCTTGTAACTGTTTTGAGCCTTGTAGATTTCATGAATCTTTCTTTCCTCCTGGGAGTGGGGAGAGAATATAACTGAAAACAAGTGTGTGTCTGAGACAGGGTCTCTATGTAGCCTGGCTGTCCTGAATATCACTGTAGACCAGGCTGGCCTGATAGAGATAGAGATCTTACTGCCTCTGCCTCCTGAGAGGACCAGGATTAGGAGTATTAGGCCTGATTAGCTTTTTAGTCTTACCTGTAGCAACTAGAATTTGTTTTGCTTGTTTATTGTTAGATTTAGCTTTAATTAGATACTTGAACATTTTACATGAAATCAGAATTAGCTAAAAGAGGGACAGTCCATGACCTTAAGATATTTTTACTTATTTGTGTCATTGTATTGGACACAGATACGGAGCTGGACAGTGGTGGTGCACACCTTTAATCCTAGCACTGGAGAGGCAAAGACAAGAATTCTTGAGTTTGAGGCCAGCCTGGTGTACAGAGCAAGTTTTGTCTGAAAAACAAAAACAAACAAGACACTGACATGGAAATAACTGTTAAATAATGTGAACAACAATCCTCTTTAAACATAACCTAGTTTGTAGGTGAAAAATGGTTGAATATCTGTAGTTTGATATGAACATTTGTTCATCCTACACCATAGGCCACAGCAGAGTAGCCTATTTCATTTGAATGTACGTTTTTCAGAATAGTGTGTAATGTGCTCTGAGGACAGGTGTGCTATCGTAGATGATACAGCGAACAGAGCAGACAGGTGCCTTTTCCGGCTACCTACATTCCAGCTGGAAGGGACAATAGCTTTCTGAAAGCTCACTGTACCTGCCAATGACGGATGGCTGGGAAGCCTATTTATGTAAAGTTCAGCCAGTGTGGTGGCACATGCCTGCAATTCTGCTACCCTGGAGGTGGAGGCAAGAGGATCAGGAGCTAAATAAAGGTCCTGCTGAGCTTTGTAGGGAGTTGGGGTAGAGGCCAGTGTGGCTACCAGAATCTCAAGGAAAGCAACAGAAAAACAGGTACATGCACACTACTTCCGGGCCGTTGGACAGCATGGCCTCGAGTGTGCCTGCTTACCTTGCTGGGTCAGGTTGGTGCTACCAGGAACCAGCCAAGATTTTGGTTCTTGGTGAGGCTGGTGTGGGCAGCTAGCTGGTAGCTGATACAGGACTAAGTGCCCCACAACAAGAGACAGCCTCTGGTCCTCTGTAGTCATTTAAAAATGTTCTTTGATAATTTCATTCATGGACATAGTGCATTCTGATCACACATTGCCCTCTTACTCCCTTCCCACCCTCAATGCCCCTCCAACTTCCATGTCTTTGTTTCTCTTTTGTGACCTGAGTTTAAGTAGAACTACCTCTGTGAGCACGGATGTGGTTGAATCCAACTTAGAATCAAGACTGATTCCAATCAAAATCTTAACTTTAATTTTTAAAAGATCCCAGTGTTTGGTTTCACTATTCAGGGTAATATGTATCTTAAAGATATCACTGCCATCCTGATCTGATTATAGAATCTAATAGTACTGATGAGATACACTATAACTAAGTGTAATTTCACTAGTCAGGTTTTCTTGCTTGCTTTAAAGACAAGGTTTCTCTGAGTAGCCTTGGCTGTCCTGGACTTTCTTTGTAGACCAGGCTGGTCAAGAACTCACATTGATACTCCTGCCTCTTCCTCCCTGAGTGCTGGGATTAAAGGTGTGTGCCACCATGCCTGGCTACTGGTCAGTTTTTTTTAAACCCGTATTCATTGGTAGGTTACTTCTAGAGGCCCACAAACATCTCCAGCTGACACATCTATGACCAACAGATGGTTTTGTTCTTTTAATGGACATACTTTCATAGCAACCTTGGAGGCCAGGTTTGAATTTAGAATTATGAAGTATTCTGGCAAAAGTAAAATAAACCTATCCTCTATGTAAAACTGGCAGACAGCTTTAGGAACAAATTAAACTTCACTACGAAGATACAGTCAGCAGACTCACAAAGTCGGCAGTTCTGTTTTACAGCACAAGACTTAGGTTTCTTCAACATACGGTACCAAGGGAAGTGAAAAGGAGTTGCTGTGTAAATACAGTGTTGATCTTATCTGGAACTTCATTTTTCCCAAGCCAAATTTACGTGGGCATTTTAGCTTATTTTTAGGTTTTACATGTCCATGTGTACACTTTTTTGAGTTTATGTACACATGTGTGTACAGGATCCCCTGGAGCTGGAGTTCCAGAGGATTGTAAGCTGGCATGTGGGTGCTGGAAACTGAACCTAGGTTTTCTGCCAGAGCAGCAAGTGCTCTTCTTGCTGGGCCATCTCTTTGGTTCCTAGATAGGCATTTTTAAGAATGAAAATATGAATGTGGAACAGATAGGTATTAGATGGTACTGAGGAATTACTGACTGCTAGGTATATATGGTATTTTCATAATTAAAGGCTTTGTTTAGAGATGTTTAGCAACATTCATAGATGAACTAATATGTCTGAGGTTTACTGCAAGTTAAAATGAAGGTATTGAGAAGGAGGATATTTGGAACAGGAGTGGCAAAAATTGAAGCCTGGGGATTCACTTTTCTCTTATATTTATTAAAATAAATGTTAAAGTTTACTGTTTGCACAATGTAAGTTGTTCTAAGTGGGAAGTCCCAAGAAGCACATAGACAAAGTATCACAATAATGTAATTCAGTAAGAGTTTTGGACACATGAGTGTGTTACAAAAGTCAATAGTGTTACTGTATCCAAGACACCAAACAACATAGAAAGAATGAAAACCCAAACTATAAACTATGAAGAGGAAAGCCTTAATGACTTCAGGACAGGCAAGAATTTCTTAATACTACAAGTGGCAGAGACCTAACAAAAGACTGACAAACTCACTACATTCAACAGCTAGAGCACAAAACCCCCATAAAGACAAATGTTTACAACATATACAACACTACAATGACTAAAGTAGTCTATCTGAAAATCACACATCACTAAGAGAAAGGAAGCCAAGTAGGAGACTTTGAAAGAGAGTGTGCAGTTCACAGAACAGTGTAGTTTCATGAACATGAAGGAATACAGCATCCCTGAAGGGCCAGAGAGATGTAAACTACAGCTACACCATTCATAGTGACACAAACTGTAAAAGTCTGATCATATCTAGTGTTGGTGAATATGTTGGTGAGGATGTGAACTGCTAATTTTGCAAGGGACCCAGCAAAATGTGAAAGATATGCTAACAGGGAAGATATTTTATGTACTAGTGAACAATTTCAAAGACCCAAGTGTCCATCTTATGTAAAGTAACTTTTACTCCTAATGTCATCTCGGAGGCTTACTGCCTCTGCCTGCTAACCTATAGCCTCCATACAATCTTATGTAGGCCTAGAATGTTTTCAGCCTGAGACTGCTGAATAAGCTTACCCTTTCTAGTTCTTTTTAAACTCTGGCTGGTTGGTTCAACTCAGCTGTTCTGGTTCAAAAATCTCCTCTCCAAGCTGACTGATTCAAACTGGCTTCTCTAGCCTTCTGGCTGAATTGCTGTGCTTCGCCTCATCTTGGGCTCCTTCCCATTCTCTGGCGCATTCTGTCTTCACCTATGTCTAGCTTGTTCTCTCTCTGTAACCTGTGTCTCTACAACTGTCCCAGCAAAACTGCCTCTGAACCACAGGAACTCAACTCCACTGCACTGCCTCTCAACTGAATGACTCAACTGATTTCTCCTTGCACTGATGTTAAGTGGACTCTCTTTCCAGTCTGTTGGGCATATCCCATTTCTGACTCATTCTGACACTCCTTTCTGATTTGTCTGCTTCCTTCTACAAACCAACCTTACCTACATTGTTTGGGAATAAAGATGTGTACTTAGGGCGTGTCTGTATTCCAGCTAGAAGGATATTAAGGGTATACTGGATTAAAATTCCTCTACAATCTTAGGTTAACAATTATTTGTATTCAAGGAAATGTAGCAGTTAAAATGGCTAGAGCCTCAAAAAGTAATGCCTGGTGACAGTGATTTGGAAAATATTACAGTGTTATACATTTATGTGGATTTTTAAAAGCCCCCAACACTCAACATATGTATTTACAAACATATTTAAACCTTTGTAAAAGTAAATTAAAGTGGACTAAAAGATTTCTATAAAACTCATAGTAGGGATGGTCTGTTTGGACAGGGAAATTAAGTTGGGTGTAGTAGGATAGTAGGGAGTCATTCAACTTTCCTGTAATTCAATTTCTTGTAATTGAAAATTTTTATCTGTGAGAAAAATTTAGACTTAGGTGAAAAATGTTAACATTTGTTTACATTTGATGATATGTACCCAAACGTTTGTATCATAATTACCCAAACGTTTTGGGATAAAAGGACTTGATAAAACATTAAATTTTCTAAAAATTAAAAACAGAAAAGTTGAAGCTTAATCATGACTTTCTTAAGGACCACGGTGTTTGGTGGATAGAGAAAACTCGATTTTATTTTGGTTTGTATGTCAGTGTTTGAATTTGAGGCGTCAGAATGAAAATGTTATATAAGTTTCACCGTAAATAAGAATGTACCATCCCAAGAAAGGACATTCGTCCCACGGGAACCTTACAATCGTGTTTGTGCGTGCGTGCGTGCGTGCGTGCGTGTGTTGTGTGTGTGTGTGTGCGCGCGCGCGCGCGCTCGGGCCCATTGCACGTGCGCATGCGGGTGCGCTCCCAGCCGGACATCAAGAATTCCGCCCGCGCCTTGCTCCCAGCTTTTCTGCGTTCCGCAATCAGTAGTAACATCAGCCACGAGGAGCTCGGAGGATTCTGGGAAACGTTTCTGTTGTGTTTGTAACCATGGGAAAAAACCCGCTCGGTCCTAGAGGGATCCGCGTCCATTCACCTTATCGTTTTGAACGTAGTCCCTGTCCACCCAAGTTGAGTAAAACCGAGAAAGAAACAATACGAAGTACGCTCTAGAAACTGTTGTTTCAAACTCCGTTTACATTTTTTTTTCAGTTGGAATTTGTGCTGCGTGTGATTTTCTTGTAAAAATATTTAGAATCTCGAATTCTAGCAATAAAAGATTGAGAACCTGTTGCGAGTTTCAGAAAAATCTCCTTTGGGAGGTTAGGTGTGGACGCGGTGTGTTTATCTTGTATATTTTCTTTGTCTGGGTCTGTTGGAAGGTGGGCTTTCTGCGAGCCTGATTTGTGGGAACCTTCACCCCCGGTTCTGTGCCGGCAGACACGCAGTTCTCACAGGTGTGGAAAATTCCGTGTGGTTGTCTTTATTTACTGTGGACGTGGACATTTCTTTTTTTCACAGCGACAGAAAAGCACTCATCAAGGCCAAATCAGGTTTACTGCCAGTTTTTAATTTTGCTCTGAGACAGCTACACTGTCGTATTTAAGGACCGTCAAAGGACAAGCCACCCTGTGGAGGAGACTTTTTCAGTCTTAATATCACCAGCAGATGTTTGACTGGAGCAGTTAGATCTGTGTGCTCTCCGCCCAACTTAAAATAAACAAGAGCAACAACAAAAACCCACAGCGGGACAGAAGGTCCTGACATCCCCAGCGGGAAGCATTTACTCACAGGTCTAGTCGGCTTATCTGCTGACGTCTCCTTAGCTTTTGCGACCAGTGTGCGGCGAGCTAGTTTGCCTCCGCTCGGCCGCCGTCCGCCAGCGCTCAGCAAATTTTGTCCTCCGGCCGCCGCCGTTCGCGTTACTCATCGTTCCGAGTTGCGAGGGGGAGACGCCTCTTTCGGGGAAGCCGGCTGGTGTGGCCGGCACCATGGAGTCGCCTTTTAGTCCTGTTCTTCCTCGTGGGCCAGATGAAGACTGGGGTGAGTGGCTCTGCGAACGCACCCGAGCGAGGTCCGGCCGCGCCTGCGGGCGTTTTCCTCCCGATTTCTGCCCGTTGGTGGTGGTGGTGACAGGTGTGGACGAACCTTGCCAGGGGAGCGAGGTCACGGGTTGCGGCTCGGGGAAGAGACTGGCAGAACCGTTGGGCTTCTGTCCCGGCCGCAGCGATAGTGAGATGACGTTCTAGTCGAAATTGATGCAGTTTTTCAGCGTGCGCGCCTGGTGGAAATGCCAGGTGATCTCGAGGGGCTAGCAGGATGGCTGTGGCTGCCCCAAAGGCTCCGAGCTATTCTCTCAGACTGTGGGGCTGTGGGTGGGGAGCGGAGTGTGTGTGTGTGTGTTCGTGTGCCCGTGTCCTGCACGTGCTGTGTGTGAGAAAACATGGTTGAAATACACATAGAAGAAAATCCTTACCTCTCAGCTTTCACTACTGGTTTAAGGCATATATCCAACTTGACAAAGAGGAGAAGCCCCCAAGCACCTGACCTTGTGTTCCTGATGACTGGATTGAACACACGTGCAAACTGATGTAATCCTGACCGCTGTCCAAACACGGCTCGGAAATCTCTTAAGTCTGTCTTGTTTGGTTTTGGTGTTCAGAAGGGAGAGAAAGACAGTGGACAAGCTTTGTTCTCTAAATCCTTAGAGAAAGCTGATATTCCTCTCTTGAGTACAAGATGGAATTTGTTAGCGGGATCCAGTATAAATTTGGAATTCACTGAGGTAGGTACCTCCTGTAGTGAGACTACATTGTTCTTCAGCCTTATAGTTTTGGGGGCATTTTTCTTCCTTGGACCAACGTTCTACCATAACATGAGTGGACTCTCAACTAGGATGTATTGTACATCCTAGTTTAATTTTCCAGTGGCGGAAGTGTTCTACAATTACAATCTGTGAGGGATTTATTTTAATCCTTGGGTAGGTCTTTGACAGCTTTCTGGAAAACAAACAAACAAACAACAAAAACTTTAGATGTCCATACTCCAGTGCATTCTCCCAGCTAAATGCTTTCGTTACGGTAACCCAGAAGTCCCTTGCTTAGGACTTTATTTTTGTCAGGTATTCTGCTAAGCGCACTACATGCATTATTTATGTTCACAACAGCTCAATGAGGTCATGCCGTCCTGTAGATGCTGAAAACGAAGGCTGATAGAATTTGTGCTTAGAGCTGTGAGTCTTAGAGCTGGTGAGTGGTAAAGGTAGGATCAGAACCAGGGTTATCTAACTTTGAAGTCTGTGCCTCTGGCTTTTCTACTTTGTAACACTTTCCTAATATTTTTTGGGGTTGGATTCTTTCTAATTCTTCTGTTCTTAACAGGTCCACTTCAGTATGTTGGGTCGTTATGATTTATTTTCTCAACCGTTTGACCATTCCGTTCTCGTGGCATTTCTTAAGCCATAGCCATGAGGCACTCACTGAGAGTGTTATTTTGTCTTGTATCCCAATTCTCAGCTTCATTTTCCTAACTGCTAGTCTTGATTCTTCAACAAAACATTCAGCTCTTTGTAGTCAGCTGACTGACTCCTTTCTCAGGTATCCTGCCCCGTCTCTCTTGGCTTTGTCCTTTTCCCGTTGTGTTTTAGGGTTCTCTCTTCAGACTGTTAACAATCGTCTCTTGGCTGAATACTCTCACCCCTGAGGTGTTCAGTAGGTAGGACAGATTTTGCATGGATTAGAGTTTAAAACTCTTATCCACTATGGTTTCCCAAATGGATTCTTTGGGAGTTGCTGTTTCAGATGTTTGATTATTTTACTAATGTATTTGATGATTTAAAAGTAATTTTAACAGCTGTCCTGTTAAATTTTAAAAATTGGATTTTATAATTGGTATTTCTTCTGATTAACAACTTGAACAATCTGAAGGAAGTTATTATCTCAGCTCAGGGTATAATGGAACTTGCTTCTGTTTATTTATCTGTCTCTTTATTTTCTAAATGTGATCAATGAAATTTACAGCTGACATGTACAGATGTATTTTTAAAAGGGCCAGATAGCGATATTTTAGGCATCACTGTCATGTGGTCTCTGTTGCAGCTGCTCTGCCATAGTGAGAAAGCAGCCATAGACCATGTAGATGAGTCAGAATGGCTGTGTTCCCATGAAAGCCTTGTGGAGACTGAGATTTGGATTTCATATAGATGAATCTTTTACTTATTTTTTGCTTGGGACATTTTAAAGACATTGTTTTGCTGTGTAGCCCAGGCTGGCCTCAAACTTCCTGCCTTAGACTTCCGGGATTATAGACACACAGCACCATACCTGGCTCCCTTTATTGTTACTGTTGTTAGGTCTTTTGAGACAAGGCCTTGCTGTGTAGGGCAGGGTGCCTTACAGCTTTCATAAGACTCTGCCTCTGGCTTTTCAATTGTATTTAGTGTGTTACTTAATCCTTTTTAAAGTACAGCTTTAGATTTTAGAACATGTAATTCCATGTACTTCCTCTGTTTCCTCTAGGGGTAGCATCTTATATTACAATGCTGGTTAGTTTTCTGCTTTGTTTTTTGTTTGTTGACAAGCTAGAATCATCTGGGAGAGGGAACTTCTATTAAGAAAATTCCTCCATCAGACTGTCATGTTGGCAAGTCTGTGGGTTTTTTTTTTTTTTTTTTTGATTAATGATTAATGTGGGATGGCTCAGCCCACTGTGGGTTGTGCCAACCCTGGGCAGGTGGGCCTGGGATATTTAAGAAAGCAGGCGGAACTAGGTTCCTGCCCCGACTCAAGTAGGCATTAATTAGACATGCAAGCCAAACAAACCCTTTCCTCCCCAATTTTGGTCATGGTGTTTCATCACAGCAGTGGAAGGCAAACTAAAGCAATTAGTGTGGTACATTTGTTAAGAATGATAAACTAGTGCTGATCAATTTATTTTCTTTTTTTCTTTTTTGAGATAGGGTTTCCTTATGCAGTCCATCTTGACCTGGAACATTTTGTGTAATCCAGGTTTGCCTTGAATTCTTAATGCTCTCATCTCAGCTTCCCAAATACTGGAATTAAAGGCATGAGCCACATGCCTGGCATGGTACATTAGTATTAAGTAAAGGACGAACCAATTAGGGGTTTTGACAAGTATAACGCCATGGGCCCATCATTACAGTGTTATACAGAGTAATGTGAGAGTCTCTCCTAAACATTCTCTGTAGTAAGCATTTGAAGTTCCTGTGTCTTTTTGTGGCTTGATGGCTTATTTCTTTCTAGCACTGAATAGTGCTGAATGGCAGGGTTTTGACAAAGATATAATGACAGGGATCTGCTGTTGCAGTATTCTACATGATGTGGAAGATGCTAGCATGCTTAGGTTTTGATGCTAGCCCTCTTTGCTTGTAGATGACTGCCTTCTGGCTGTGTCCTTCCATGGTTTTGAGGAAGGAGAGTTATCCTCTTCTGAAAGCATCATTTCACTTCAGTAATCTCCTCAAGACTCTGTGCTGGATACAGAGATATTAGGGAGCAGGGCTGCAATATGAGTTCTGGGAGGCCTTAATCCAGTTAAAGCACATAGTTTGTATGTCTGTTTACATGGTGATATCTCGAGTGCTTCCAATTTTTGGCAGTTATGCATGTTCTGAACATCTGTGTGCAGGTTTTTGCGTTGATTTAAGTTTTCATATCATTTGGGCTGATACTGGATTGAAGAGTGTGTTTGGTTTATAAGAAACAGCCATGCATGTATATGAGTGGATATTTCTGTTTGCTGGCATCTGCTGTTGCCAGTACTTTGGAGTTTAGCTATTTTAACAGGTGTGTGGTAGTGCCTTGTTTTAATTTGCAGTTTTATTTTATTTTTAAAAATTTGTTATGTGCATTGGTGTTTGCCTGCATGCATGTCTATGGGTGTCAGATCTTGGAGTTACAGACAGTTGTGAGCTGCCATATGGGTACTGCAAATTGAACCCGGGACCTGTGGAAGAGCAGTCAGTACTCTTAATCACTGAGCCATCTCTCCAGCCCCTAGTTTGCAGTTGTCTAATGTTACACATTTCCATGGCTAGTTAGCAATCTTTACCTTTCCTCTTTCTTCCTCCCCTCTCCCTCTCATTTGATTTGTACAAAAGCCAGTCTTTTCTTTTCTTTTCTTTTTTTTTTAAGCCACTTAGATGTGTGTCAAGATGAGAAGCTTCCTGCCACTGCGGTTTCTCTCATGTCTTTAGTGTCTTCTTTGAAGCTTCTCTCCCTTTTCTTGTACTAACCAAAGCGTGACACTTCCCCCGATGACACAGCTTTTCCTGAAGTCCTGGTGAAAGTTCTCTGCGTGCAGCGCCTCAGAATATAGTACGGGCTTGCTTTCCTTGTCCTTCTCTGTCATTTCCAGAACATGCTCCTTTCCTCCACAACAAACATCTAGGTGTAACTCTTATCTCGTCACAGTCAACAATCTCCTACCTCTCTCTTTTGCACCGACTGCTGCTTCAGTCACTTCCATTTACTTTTGGAAAAGAGAGCTACTAGCTTACTGTTGTGTTCTCCAACATTCTGCTCTTAGGATTCTTGACTATTTCAGTCGGCTTGGCCAGTCTGTTCTCTGGTCTTGTTACTCCCTCACTGTTGGTTCCCCAAAGCTTCTCCCTCCAGCCTCTTAACACCTGCTCTTTCATGCTCTGGATCAGAACTCCTAGTCTCTCTCTGCCTCATCTCACTCACCAGCATGCTTGCCTTCCTCCATGTGGATGCTGAAGTTGGCCTCTTGTTACTAGATAGAAACCCCGGGTGTCTTCGGGTGTGCTTCAGCTCCCTCATGCTTTACTAAAAATGTTGCTTCAAGCTCTTTTCCCTTCTGTTTCCTATAGTATTTCTCCCATCTTTGTTAGAAAACAAGCATGTAGTTAACTTCTCCTATTTGGGGGTGGGGGGGGAAATGCTAGACTCTCCCGAGATGTTACTTCCCCTCGTGCTGTCACCACATTTCTCCTCTTCCCCTTCTCCAGTTTTTTTTTTTTTTGTAAGTAGAGACATTTCTTTTTATTTTTTTAGAGAAATTTC